TACCAAATGTATCATTAATGAATATGTTCCCTCATGAAGTAAGTTGCCTTTTGATTTTGTTGATGGGGTTTTTTTTTTTTTTTTTTTTTGCTGTACAAAAGCTTATATCACCTCTTGCCTGTCAGAACAGCTATCATCAATAAATCAGCAAACAACAAGTACTGGCAAGGATGTGGAGAAAAGGGAACCCTCATGCATTGTTGGTGGAAATGCAGACTAGGGCAGCCACTATGGAAAACAGAATGGAGTTTCCTCAAAAAATTGACAATGGAACTACCTTTTGACCCAGTGATTCTACTCTTGGGAATATGTTGGGAAATGCCCTGTCTGGTTTCAGGGACTGTAGCCCTGCCGACAGACAGGAGGGCCCCAAGGCTGGAGCTAATCAAGGAGGCCTTTGGAAAACAGGCCACTGAGGAGATTAAACCTGTCCTGGCAGGGGCACAGCCCCTGCCTCCCTCACATCACCCAGCTTGGCCCTGTGATGGTCAGTTAGTCAGAGATGGGTAAGAGTCCTCACAAGGAGGGATGACCTAAGACAGACACAGCCAGTATGGGCAGCAGACAAGAACTTGGGGGACACGGAGAAAGGGCAAAAAGGCCGCACCCCTTGGCTTGGCTTGGACACGGCTGGGGTCCTCATCTTGTCTTAAAGAAATCTCCTCATCTCTTAGTGGCTCTGCCCTGCTCACCTGGCTCAGGCTTGAAACAATACTAAAGGCAGGTACAGCTCTAAATGGATCGGGCAGTTCCCAGGGGGAAAGCAGGCTTAGAGGTAAGTTTCCTGAAGCATGCTTTGTTCTTCCCTCAAAAGCTATGATAACTGACCCATACTGGGAAGGAGATTTACATTATTCATAGACCCTGACCTGAGGCAGATCTCTTGTGTTCCTTCAATTGTTATCTATGATCTCTATTTGTTTTCTGTAAACACAGCCTTTTGACATTGACTGATGAGCTTTGCTCTGTACCCCTGCACTTACGGTTCTCAGTAAAAGCCTTTGGACAAAGGGGCTTGGGGCCTTCTCTACCAGAGGGAAGAGCTGTGCTCCCTCTCCTGGCAAACAAAGTATTTGCGACAACTCGTGTATAGTCCCCCTATCTGTGACAACCCCAAGACGGGTTCTGTGGGATTCAAAGCCCCGCTTCCTCTTCAGCTGGCTCTGGACAGTAACCCTCAGACCCAGGAGTGCCCCGGGTGGCGCTCCCCATGACAGGGATATACCTGAAGAAACCCAAAACATTAATTCAAAGGAATATATACATTCCTGTCTTTGTTGCAGCATTATTTACAACAGCCAAGATCTGGAAACAGCCCAAGTGACCGTCAGTAGATGAGTGGATAAAAAAGCTGTGGTACATTTACACAATGGAATGCTACACAGCCATAAAAAGAAAAAATCTTACCTTTGGCCATAGCATGGATAGAGCTGGAGGTTATTATGTTAAGTGAAATAAACAAGTCAGAGAAAGATCAATAGCATATTATTTCACTCATATGTGAAATCTAATCAACAAAATAATTTAACAAACAAAATAGAAACAGGCTCATAGATACATAGAATAGATGGACAGCTATCAGAGGGGAGGGAATTTGGGGGGCTGGGTGAGGAAAGTGAAGGGATTAAACAACAACGTGTGTGTGTGGTCTCTCTGGAAAAAGTCCAGCCATTGTTAATATCATGAGAATGGTTTGTGTGACATCGATGTAACCTGTCTGCCAAGGAGAGTGGACTGGAATGTGCATGCTTGAACAATAACAATTTCATTGCTCTAGTTGGTAGGGGTGGTAAACACTAGTGAGGGAGCTTGTGTACTATGTGGCTGTCACATTCAAAATGACTGAGTAAGTGGAGTAATGAATTTGCATTAAATTTTGCATTAAACTTGAACATTCCTCTATGGAAAATATTCATGATTCGGGAGACCATGGCTATGGGCAGCTGGTGATTGACAACTTCATCATGACAATATGCCTGCTCATGCATCACTTCTAATGCAGAGTTTTTTGGCAAAACATCAAATCACCCAGGTGACTCAGCCCCTCTTCAACCCAGATTTGGTGGCCTGTGACTTCTGGCTTTTCCCAGAACTAGAATCACTTTTGAAAGGGAAGAGATTTCAGACCATTGATGAGATTCAGGAAAATATGATGGGGCAGCTGATGATGATTGGGAGAACTGTGTGAGGTCCCAAGTTGCCTACTTTGAAGGGAACTGAGGCATCATTGTCCTATGTACAATGTTTCTGGTGTCTTCTTCAACAAATGTCTCTGTTTTTCATATTACATGGCAGGATACTGTCTCTCTCTCTCTCTCTCTCTCACACACACACACACACACACACACACACACACACACACACACAATATGTCACATAGACACAGACAACAGTATGGTGCTAGCCAGAGGGAAAGGGAGGTGTGGGGAGGTGGAAGTGGGCAAAGAGGGGAAAATGGGGGCAAAAAGAGACTTGACTTTGGGTGATGAGTACACAATGCAGTTTGCAGATTATGTTTTATTGGGTAGTACACTTGAGACCTGCATGGCTTTATTAACCAATGTTACCTCAAGAAATTCAATTAAAAAAAGATAGCATATAAAAAAAGATTGATTGCAAAAAACCCCATCATATATGAATATGTGCATCCATACACATCCACTGTGGAGACATACATTTTATGAAGAAAATAATAGAGAAGAATTATGGATTAGAGCATGAGTAAGGGGCTCTTATAGAGAGGGTGATCAGGGGAGATCTCACTTAGAGAGTGGGTTTTTGCAAATGCATGGAAGTGAATTGAACCTCGAAATGGTCGGGGGAAACCCTTTTTTGCAGAGAAACAGGAAAGGCTCCCAGGAGGCTGAGCTCTCTTGGTGAAAGAATCAGCTGGAGCTAGTGCAACTAGAGGAGGGGAGTTGATGGGGCAAGGACAGAGGAATGTGGAAAGGCAATCAGAGACCTAATCACGTGGGCTCATGTGGGCTCAGCTGGGCTGTGGTGAGAGCTCTTGCTATTATTCTGGGTGTGATGTGAAGCCATTAGAGAGTCCCAACGGGGCCTGATATGACACACTGCATCTTTGACCCCCGCTCATGGCTGAGTGGACATTTCACTGAAGGGGATGAGAACAGGGTCAAGGTGATCAGTTAAGGGTTATTGCAGCACTCTAGGGGAGAGAGCTAACAGTGGATTTCAGAGAATAGAACTGAAGCCAGGGGTTATGAGTTTACATGGAGGCAAATTTTGGCATAGAATGACTAGGATTTTTTAACACTCAGGGCTGACTGACAATATTGGGCTTCAAGGGTAGTGATTCCCTTCCATGCCTTTGCTGAGACTGAGTGTGATCCCCAGCTCAGAGAGAGGAAGCCACAGGCCTCCCAGGTCCCTCCTATCTCATGAGTCCCAGCTGTTGGACACAGTGCAGGTTTCAGTACCTACCATGAGACACAGGCCTGTGTCTCAGCTGCTGGAAACACACTTCACAGTGGTTAAGAAGAGAGAGATCTGGTTTTTAACTTGGCTAAATTTCTTAGTAGAGATGCGATTTTACCTAAGTTCTATCATTTCTCAGGGCCTCTTTTTTTTTTGCATAAGAAATAAAAATTAATGGCCGTTAAGTGTTGCTGTGAGGATTAAAAGATTAGTAAGGTACCTGTCTTACGACTTTACCAGACATAGAATAAGCTTTCAATATTTGTTATGTAAAACTCCTGACAGGGGGATGGTGGATTGTTCCAAATCAGATCAGAACAAGGTGTGGTTCCTGTTGTCAGTGAATCAAGACAGTCACACCTCTGTCCCCAAGGCAGTCCAGAAGAAACTTCTTCGCTGACCTTGGCTGTATTTCTTCACGGTTGTTTCCTGGCATATGAACTGCTTTGGTTACTCCAGGACCCCAGAGCAGCCACGCCTGTGTTGCCTCCCAGTCAATCATTAACACCTCACGGGATCTCTATGCCAGGCCAGATTTTTTAACAAAGTGGGCACACCCAGAACCAGGAAATGACCCTCTTACTCATTAAAAGGCCTGGGAGTCCTAGACAGCCAGTGTAGTCTGACGCGGGCCGGGGACAAGAGCATCTCTTGGAACAAAGGTAACTTCTGCGGCTCAGAAGCCATGTGTTGGACAGCTTCTTTCATTGCTCTGTGTCTTGTGCTGAGGAATCTCTGGGGCTGAGGGGTCCAGGGTCTAAGACATAGGGCATCAGAGGACCTGGGGTTGCTTCCATGAGTATAGCTGGCTGCTTACTCCCTCCTAGGAGCAACTGTAGAATCAGACACCAAGGATCCTGAGTCAGGGAGGGTGGTGAACAACTGATTCTCACTGTGGGGAGTCTTTGGTGTTTTGGGGGAGCTGTCCTGGTGTCCCAACCCAAAGCCCAGAGATAGATGCTGTCTGACAGTCAAAACATCTAATGGAGGCAGTGGATATCCATGGCAGGATCCTTAGAGATGCCTGTTTGATGGGAAATGGGGGGAGATGGGGGTCAGATAGACAGACTTGCTGCCAGTTATTTTGGATATTCAAGCTTGAAATCAGGATAATTGGTGACTTACTGGCTATAGAGGCCTAAATAGAGATGAAAACACACTCTTCCTTCCTCCTCTAAACCCAGAAACTCATTGGCCTAGAAGGTGCCTGGGGGGTGCTCTGGAATCTCCTAGCAATTCCAGATGTGATGGGTGGAGGGCACCCCAAGGCCATCATAGCCTGGAGAGCCAGGACCATATAGTCACAACAGAGAAGGGAGCTTCCATTTGGGCTTTTCTGGCCTTGGAATATGTTCTTCCTATCCTTAGTCTCAAATATGTGCATAGGACAAATTCTCAGGGCATCTTCCTCCAAATAATTTTTACACAGATTTCCAGGTGGATGGGAGAGCAGTGAATAACATGTTTTTCTTCCCTCCTTTCTTCACAAGACCAGCTGCTGACAACCTCTTTGTGAACATCTATTCTACCTTGTCCTCTTTACAGAAAGTCCTGAAGCCAACATGCAGACTCCACAAAGTAAGTGGAAAATTACAAACCAGCTTGGCAATCCGCATCCAGCCTTGCAAAGGACAACAGGGCACATGGGCCCCTTTCATTTGCTCAGTTACAGGTGTATTTGCTAAAATACTCAGGTCATGAAACCTGCACTTTAGTTCTTGTCCTATTACATATTATATATTATATATATTTAGAATTATTTACTTATTTTGATAAAGAGGGCAAAGGAAAAAACAAACTACGTACTGATGATCAATTTAATTTTTTTTTTCATACCTAGAGACTATCAATGAGAAAAGGACAAGTCACTGATACCCCTAGAAAAATCTCTGGGCATCGTGCATGCATATACATCCTTTCAAACACTTTGATCCACAAACTAGCCCCTGCCTTGGTTCCCCTCCCTTTCTCCTTATAGCTGTTTTCTCAGAACAGTAAGCCTACCCTAGAAATTCCAAAGCCAGTACAGTTGCCTCCCTAATCTGAGGGAGATATGTTTCAAGATCCCCAGCAAATGCCTGAAACTGCAGAAAGTACTGAACCCTGGACATACCATGTTTTTACCTATACATAGACACCTTTTCACTTAGGAAACACTTTACAGCTGCTCTTTGGCATATCCAAAGTGCCAGCATCACCACTTTTGTGCTGTGGGGCCATTATTAAGTAAAATAAGGGTGACTGGAACACAAGCACTGCGACATCACAATAGCAGATTTGATAACCCAGAGGGCTACTGAGTGACGGGTGGGTGGGGAAAGTATACAGCGTGGACATGCTGGACAAAGGGATGATTCCCATCACAGGTGGGGTGGAAAGAATGGTGCAGATTTCATCACACTACTCAGAATGGCATGTAATTTAAAACTTATGAACTGTTTATTTTTGTAATTTTCCAGTTAATATTTTCGGACCACAGCTGACTGTGGGTAACTGAAATTGTGGGAAATGAGACAATGGATAAGAGGGACCATTGTACTAGAGGGTGCAGAAGAGCTCCTGAAGTTTATAACTTCATGTGTATTTTCTGTTATGTGCACTTTTTTCTGTCACCCGGCAGGGCAGGGCTCTCCAGGATACCATGGTATTCGTGATTCTTTCCAGATGGTGTGGGTCCTGAAGGGAAACTCTTTAATTGCAGTTCCTTCTAGCAGCAATGTCAAACCTGGTGAGTGACAATGAGGCCACTGTTACCTTTAAAAAAAATCCTCACCAAAGGATGTGTTTTATTGATTTTAGAGAGGCGGGGAGGAAGGGAGGGAGAGAGAATCAACTGGGTATCGAACCTGCACACTTTTGATGCACAGGATGAGGCTCCAACTGACTGAGCCACACAGCGAGGGCCACTGTTGCCTCTTAAAGGGACACCAGCTCCAGTGGGGATGGGGCTGAGTTTGTATAAGCCCGGTTGTGGCCTCTCCTACTTTTCGGCACCAGTTCAGTGTCCACAAGAAGGGCAAGAAAGGGCAAGGTGGTTCCCTCCCACAAAGGAAATTCTGTGCCTAGAAATAAGGTGTGAGAGATGGGCAGCTCCCCTTACTAAAGAAAATGTCTTCCAGTGAGAGGGGATTGTCCAGTCAGCCAGCAGCTGATGTTCTCCTTGGAACTTCTTTAAATTTCAACCTTTGCTACCATGTCCCCAGATTGAACTCCTTCACCTGCCACCACCAGACCTGCACATTTTTCTAACTTGCTGTCCTCTCTTCTAGAAAATCAGAGAATATTTCTTTCTCCCATCAAAAGTCAATTCATTTCATGTCAATTATGCCTCAATAAACCTGGGGGTGAAAGTACAACTCAACCCTTTCCCTTTCCCTAGGAGTTCAGTGTCTGATATCCCATCTCCCTGTTCCCTGCATATCCCAGCTTTTTCTGTCTATTGGGTCCTTTCTGACACTGGAAAACACGCTCTGATATAGTATTTCCAAGCTTAATACCAAATAACTTCTCTTGATGCCCACATTTCTTCCTACTGTCATTCTGTTTTCCTGTACACAATGTGCCATTCTATATACCAACTATAGCAAAATCCCATGGAAGAGTTGACTACACAACCTATCTCCACGTCACCTCCTGCTCATGCTTGCCTCAACCACTTTCACTTCTAAATTGATCTTTGACCAATCCCCTTGAATTCCTCTTTCCAAGGCCACCCAATACAATTTTCTGTGCTCACATTTGGTTCTTCAGCCACAGTCAGCATAATTGCTAACTCTTCCTTTCTTGAACACTCTCCATCTTCTCATTCTGTAAGAACATTCTCTTGTGATCCACATCCTCCTTTCTGACTCCACTTTTCCTGTAAAATTCCCAGTGCTGGAAATCCTTAAAGCTCAGTATGCAATCACTCTTGTCACCAGAGAAGGGACTGCAAGCTGGTCTCTTGGATTGGTAAGCCACCTCTATCACTCTGGCATTTATGCTTTCAACCCAAATAACCATTTCATGCCTGTTCAGTGTCTTTTCAGACACCTCTAACTTTGTCTATCCCAAGTGAAAGTATGGATCTGATTTCTCAGAATGCTGGCAAAGTCACTCTTCCCCATCCTTGTTACCACCATGATCTTATTTGCTTGAACCAAGAGCAGGGGAATACTTGAGTCCTCCCTTTCTTCAGTCTCTATCCAATCCATCAGCAAGGAGTGATGAGTCTATGTGCATAATAGGCCTTATTTATAAGATGATTATCATCTCTTGCCTGGACCCCAGCCATGGCTTCCTCACTGCCCTCCTTCCCACCTCATTTATGCAGCTCTCATCCATCCCCCACAAAGTATCACAAGTGATCCTCTTGCTATGTTCATTGAAGAGTATCATTCCCGTGTGTTTGTGATTTGGGGATGGGAGATGTGGTGTAGGTAGTAGGTGGGGAGATCTCAGGCACACCAGTATTCTTTGAAGCCTTGAACTTAAGTTCTTTTCCATCTGTGGCCTTGACCATTTCTTTCTCTGTAACACTCTCCCCCTCAACCCGCTCCACCACCCTCTATTCCCATTTCCTCATTTACTAGCTTCCTCTTAGCTTTAAGATCCCAGGTTGACTTCACCTCTGCAGAAAGGTCTTTACTGATTTTTCTCTCTAAAGTTGGTCTCTCTCCTACTGTCCCAGGCTTCGGTCACTTCCCCTGAAGCAGGTATTGCAATTTATTTTGGTTCTAGCCATTTCTCTGCTTACAGCTTTTCATCTCATTTTCTGTGGGGGCAATGACAAAGCCTGTCTTGTCCTGAGCAGGCCTTTGAGAAAGTGTTGAGAGGATGAATTCCCTGGCCCCTACCTGGAAGGAGTTCCCCACCTGGGCTCCTGGGCTCAATTAGCCAGGAATAAATTCAGCTGATAGTGACAAACAACCATGTGACTGCAGCTTACATAAGATAAAGTTGATTTCTTTCTTATGTGAAAGGAGCCTAAGCAGGCAAGCTGAGGCCAATGTGGTGAGCCCACAGTGCCGTATCAACCTCAAGGCCACCTCAACTCTCACCTAAAGTGTAGGAAGACACAGGGTATAAAGAAGGAATTCCTCCCAGCTGGGTTGGCTCCCCTGGAAGAGCATTCTGGAAATCCCACACAACACTACCACTTATAGCTCATGGGTTACAACTTAAGCATTTGATCAAAGTTAGCTCCAAGTGTGGTGGGGAATTTTATTTTTATTTTTGGGAAGCCAGGCGCCCTGATGACAGCTGGGTTCTAAGAGTAAGGAAGAAAAAGGGAAATGAGTTTCTAATTATGACAGAGGGCTTCTACCACATGGCTAATTGGAGGAGCATTCTGGGGCAGATCTGGCCCAAGGAGTAACCCAGTGTTAGGTAGGCCTGGTCTTTCTGCTGCCTGGGGCCTGACGTCTGTTTCCATTTCCAGTCAGTATTTCCTCACTACCATGCACAGACACAAACATCCATGTTGAAGGAAAAGGCAGTCTGATATACCTGGGAATCAAGGACGTAGATCTTTGTCTGCTCTGTGCAGAAATTGAGGGCCAGCCTACTTTGCAGCTTAAGGTGAGTGGTTGTACAGCTAATGAGAGAAGTATTATGAGACAAACTTTTTATTTCATTTACTACTTATTACATTTATATCAACTATGTTGCTGAATAAAAATAACATTTTTTTTTCAATCCTAGATTATTCAGTGTAAGGAAGCCTGACTTGGCTGATCCCCAAGTCAATTCATGCTACCTCTGGAATGGGTGCAACCCTTATTTTACTCTCAGAGTATCCTCTGAAGACCAGAGAGGACACCCACAAGATGGGTGCTTCAGAAAGCCCAGGACTGGCAGCTTCTCTACTCCCCATTCTCTTTAACTGCCTCCCAGAAATCCTCTGAGATGTTGGGGTGCTCCCACATAAGCAAAGGGCACTGCCCACAGAGAAAACAGGGGAGATTGTTAGTCTGGATCTTGTGGATTTCACATCTGTGGTCCTTGCACTGAAAGCAGCATTTGGGGTCATGTGGGCTGCTGCAATGTGCAAACCCACTGGGAACTGGGAATCTTATGAGCCTGGCCCAAACCCTCAGATGAGTGCCTAACAGGAGCACCTATGAGACAATTAACCCCTCTCTGTTCTCAGGGAACATGGTGTTGTCTTGAAGAATGAGAAGCACCTGGTGTTGGAAACCAGCGTGCTGCCTATCCTGACCCCTGGCATCCTCTTGTCCCTCCTTTGGGGAAAGCAGTCACTCCCAAGGCTGAGTGAGTTTAGCTCCCTCCTCCCAGTAATCCTCTCTAATAGGCTTCTTTCCTGCTCCTAGGAGAAAAGGATAATGGACCTGTACCTGGAGAATGAAGCGCAGGTGCCCTTTCTCTTTCTGCGCAGCATAGAGGGTTCCACCTCCACCTTCCAGTCGGTTGCCTACCCCGGCTGGTTCATAGCCACTTCCTCAGAGGCTGGACAGCCTGTCATCCTCACCAAGGAGAGGGGCAAAACTTACAACACCAACTTCTTTTTCAGTCCTGAGGAGTAAATCATGCCTGGGTTCGGGGTGGCCGACTCTACGACAGAGGATCAAGCAATCAGGGAACTTTCTAGGTCATCCTAAGAGACCACTGAGCACTGATGCCTAACTCACTCTCAGCACCCAAAACACCTCCTCTAGACATGCACTGGCATACCATGCCCGACACTTGAATGTCATCCCAGTATGGAACCTGAGAGTCACTTTTTATTCTTCCCTAATCTTGTCCCACCATCCATTTAGCATCCAAGTCCGTTAAGTCAGCATCTCAAATGCTCCTCCTGACAACCCATGGCCTAGAGATGAGATTTCATGCAACTTTTTCAATAAAAATGTTATTTATTAATTTTATGCATGGTCATTATAAATATTGTAATATGTACTCCCAACAATAAATCTAAAGGATAAGATAAATGCAAAGTAAAGTTTTACATGTCGATAATCATGATGAATTTTTAATATCATTAGCTAATAATTTGACACATAGTATATACTTTAGTTAAGATTAATTATTTAACAATATGAATGCAAATCAATCCATGTTTCAAAGAATCACTTACATCAGTTTGAATTTTTTTTCAGACAACTTGGAACTCATTGTATTGTCCTCATTGTTTTTACTTTCTAAAGTGGCTGGAAGTAGGAGGGCCCCTATAAGATTTTCTTGTTATTCATTTTTTTTTTGGAATTTTAGTAGAACCTTCAATCATTATAGGGATGCTTTTAAGCCCATTGTCCATTTCGTTACTTCAGTTGAAGCCTGTAATAAAATCTACAGATGCACTTCACCAATCACATATGAACATGAACGTGAGCAGATGGGCTTTTTCCTCAGGAGACCTTGCCCTTCTTCGCACGTGAAAAGTGGGATTATCAGATTTTGCAATGGGTACCTATGCTAACTAAGTTTGAATTTCTCAGCCAGGCATAATCTGTTTCAAGACCTGTCCTTCTGGCACTACCATCTGTTGCGTCACTGCCCATGACTCTTTGGGATAATCCCTGGAACCTCACCTTACACCTGTTAGCCTGCGTTTTCCTCAGTCATTGCTGTGCTTTGAGAAGTTGTAACCTGATAGCATGTTGTCTAGGCTGCACCAGCCATATCTCTCTCCCCCTGCTCTGGGGTGCCTAGAACACCTGGGGAAGGATACTTGCAGAGACCTGCTTGGTACTCATGCGTACACAAACCTGGAAGTAAGAAAGAGCTGCTCCGGAGAAAACCTTCACCAATGGGGGATGGGAGTGCATGGGGAAATTCTACTTCTTTGATCACTCAGGTGGATAATTCTGAGATGCATTCTATCTACATTATCCTCAGAGGGTCCCAGCAGGACTGCATCATAGTCTTCCATGGCCATGTTAAGCCCAAAAACACATCCTTGCATTGGCTTCCCTGCTTCAATTCTCCCAGCCCCCATTCCTGTTCCCTGGGGTTACTTCTCATCATCCTGCATGCAAGCCCTTGTCTCAGGCTGTGCTTTCTGGTGTAAATCTAGGCTGAGACAGATTTAATCAAAGTGAGCTTCTTTTCTCTACTAGCTACTTGCAGCACATTGGCTTTCTTCCCTCCACACCTCCTCTCATGAAAACATCTCAAACACTATCATTCCTGTGTATCTTACCTGCCCATGTTTCTAACATCCTACACCTGTCTGAAGTGTTTAGAGGTCTCTCCTTATCTCCCCAATCACATGCAACATCTTATCTTCTTTGAAGTCCATAGCATTTTACTTTAACATGTGACATTTCTTTTGCTAGACTTGGTGCTAGAGTTTTTTCTCCTTGTTTTGGCTCCCTTGCTCTCTCCTCCTCAACCAAATTCTAAGTACATAAAGAACAGAGATTGTGTCTTTTATGTCTATTTATCCCCTTAGTTGCCAATTATTGCCTCTATTATCTAATGTAACAGTTTCTCAAAAAATATTGTAAGTACATTCTTTATTTTCAACAGACTGACAATTTACCCTTCGACGTGGCTTTTCCAATTTATATTCCCAACAATATGTTTATCCTTCTCTGCCCAAAACTTACTTTTAAATTAAAAGTCATTGTTCATCCAGTGTGTAAAGAATAATATCTTTTAATTTATTTGCCCCGGATTACTAGTATGCCATTCACTACTCGATACATTCCAGTCTTGGCGTCTAACTTCTCCACCAAAACCTTTCTTTTGAGCATCATCAGTGACGTCTCTGTTGCCAAATCCAATGGATATTCTGCTGCACTCATCTTAATTGGCATTGGACACAGCCTGACGCTCTGCCTTATTCTTATACTCACATTTCAGGGCTCTGTGGCCAGTTGCCTCTCATTTTCCCCAACCCACTGGCTTTTCCCTCTCATTCCTCTTTTCTTTTTCCTCCTCATGTGACTTCAAATGTTGAAGTTCCTCAGGGCTCATCTTCGAGTCCTCTTCTCCTCTATGCTGTCTCCCTGGATGATGTTACTTGATCTCACAAATGGAACACAGTTTGGATCGTAACAGTTTGATCTGACCCAAGGCTCTTGTTGGAACACCAATTTGTATTGTCTCAGAGTACGCAAGTTTAATATGTCTTAAGTAGTGCCCTTGACCCTTGCCCAACATATTCATTCCCACACCCAGTTATGCAATACAGAGACCTAGGGCTCATCTTTGATTCCTCCTTTCCCTGAAGCCCTACACCCAACACATCAAGTCTATCTGCAAAGGAATTTACCTTCAAAATATACCTCAACTCCACCCATCTCTCTCCAATGTCTCTGCCACTCACCACTGAATGTAGGACAACCACCGTCACTCATCAGTCTGTAAGTCAGCATCCCGGCTGGTGCATCCATCCACGCTTCCAACTGCCTGTTAAATCCATTCTCCACCAGTCAGCCAGGATTATTGCCATAAGTGGAAATTCAACTGTGGAATTCTAATGTTTAGATACCTCCAATGCTTCCATTTACACTGAGAAGGAAATGCAAATTCCCTGTCTCTGCCTCCAAACCCTGTTCCAGCTCGTACTTTCCCACTATTTCTGTCTTCAGTCAGGCTAATCCATCAGTTTCTTGAATGTGCCAAGTTCTTTATATCCCCAGAAACTTTGCATATGTCATGCTCATGTACATTCCTGTTACCTGTATTGTTTCTTTTAATTACTTGTCTTTCTGAATTCTTTAAGTTACTTCTTCATGTTACCTCCTCAAGAGGCCTTCCATGCAGCTGCCCCCTCTCTGCACTCTGACTTGTGGTCTTTAATAACTTTTATCTCTGTGGACTCTCAGCTCCATCTCCCCTACTTGGGAAGAAGGCTGGGTCTTCCCTGGGTTTCTCTTCTAAAGGATTACTGTTTTCTCCTGGCTGATGCCCAGTGTTTTAAAACCATTGTTTCACAGGTTTTATCTTTTTATTTTAGTAGATTCAGGTAGGAAGTTAAATTGGTTCTTGTTACCACATCTTTCTGGAAGCAGATACGGGAGTCTCAGATTAGCTTCTGGGTGATCCAATAAAAGCGAGGCTCTCAATGTGCATGATGAACCAGTCTTCTCAGGACTTGACTGTGTAGCTGCAGAGATATTTCACATGCAGATGAAGCTCTTGCTGGAAATACCAGAGCAAAGTTAAGATGCAAGTAATAATTCCAACTGATGTTCATAGCACAATATAGCCTTCTGGTCTAATTTATCTAAAGCACATAAAATTGGTCTCAAGTTAGGTAATGTAGAATATAGCATACTGAATAACAAACATAAATTAAAATTTTTACATATGTATATGAAATTTAAGTTAGCCATTAGAAGAATAAAAATAGAACTGTATGACTCTAACACATGAGCAGAAAATTAAGTGAACCCCCCAAAAGAGAGAGAGAGAGAGAGAGAATATAAATCAATTAAACAAAAAACATAAATGGAGCAAAACCAAAATTATGGGAGGCAGAAAACCTAAACTAAAATGACAAAATAAGCCCAAATATGTTAGTAATCCAAATAAAAGAGAATTGATTCAGTTTATTATTCAAAGTGAGACACTTTTAAAAAGCACATGTAAAGACAAACTCTTAATACTTACGCTGAAATAACAGGAGTAAAACTAAACTTTTTCCAACAAACTGGGACATATTAAAAAGCAGAAAGTTGTTGGTAGGTATTGGGGTTGGGATGGAGGCCAGATTTGGCTATAAAGGGGTGTGTAACAATGGAATAGTTCTGTTTCTAGATTGCATGTTGATTGTACAAAACTATAGGGTGATAACATTACAAAGAAATTGTGTGTGTGTGTGTGTGATAAAGAGGTCAGTTGTCCAAAAAGACATAATAACCTCAAATGTGTATGCTCCTAATGTGTATCTCCTAACTGCAGGTCTTCAGGATGCAGCAAAAACTAATGGGTTTGAAAAAAAAGAGGTTAATTCTGATGATAGTTGGAGAGTTCAACACTCCATTCTCCATCATTGCTAGAACAAGTAGAAAATCAGATATAAGAGACCTGGAAAACACTGTCAACCAACTAGACCTATTTGACATTTATAGGACAGTCTACCCCAAAACAGCTGAATACACTTTCTTTTTCAGTGCACATGGAATAGTCACCAAGGTAAGTTATACTGTTGTCTATAGAACTAATCTCAATAAATTTAAAAGAATGGAGATTACACAATGTGTATCCTCAGACCATAACTGAATTAACTAGAAATCAATAACATTTTGAAGCTTACTACAAAGATGAAGTAATCAAAATGGTGCGATACTGTCACAAAGAGAGACATATAGGCCAGTGGAATGGAATGTAGAGCCCAGAAATCAACCCACACATATGGTTTCATGATTTTTCATAAGAGCGCCATGACCATTCAATGGAAAAGGACAACCTTTTCAATAGATGGTGTTGGGAAAACTGGCTATCAACATGCAAAAGAATAAAGTTGGACTTTCATCTAACTAACACCATATACAAAAATTAAGTGTACATGGATCAAAGACCAAAATGTAAGAGCTACCCAGTAAAACTCTTAGAAAAAGACCTAAGGGAAGAG